TTGAACGAAGAAGTAAGTGTGTGTATTTTCTATAATAGTTCAGTAATATAATAATTCCTACATATCTTATTTCTTAATGCTCTTATTCATGATGCTTGTGTTTCCCCACAATTTTTATTGATATACTCCTGCATATTTATATTTGCAGTATTTTAATCAATTAAGGGAAAATATTATTAGAAGTCAACCTGTTGACAAACAAGCAGCAATGGCGCAGTGGTTTGAAAATTTAATGAACGGCATTGAAAGAAATTTACTCACAAAAAATAGGGATAGGTAAGAGAAAACACACACACACACACACATATATATATATGATATGTATTTTAACAGATCTTGAGCATATCTTTATAACGTTTTTGTATTCTCTTTTATAGGTTTACACAAAACTTATCAATGTTTAGAAGAGACATAAATGACGCCCTAAAAGGACCTAATATATCAAATTCAGTCAATGACATGATGACGTCGTAGTAATACTGCTCTCTCTCTCTTTCTGAGTTAGATTCTTCTAGGTTTTTGCCTGCCAAATGCTTGAATGTGTGTGCGAGTGAAAATCTAAATTAATGGTGAAATAAGATTATGGCTTTAGATGAGTATAAAGATAATAAATACTACCGTTTTGTATACATGAGCATTATTGCTTGGCTTCCTATTCTTCTTAAGTTAATCTTTTTAGCCGCTTAATTAATTGTACGCACTGCGTATTGGTTCATGTGATAATGATGAAACTTATATTATTTTCTTTCCCATATACACAGCGTTTATGATTTTATATATTAATAATTTTGATGTATTTGCCCCGAATACAGAATAAAACTAGACTCCTTTTTTATTACCTTTATACTCGAATCTTTTTAGGTGTTTTAAAAAACATTCAGATTTTTATGAATACATATTAGTATCAAAAATTGGCAATTATTATATGACACTTTATAGTCATACAAAAAATATACATTATTTGAATCTTTTGAAGTAAATCATCTTCGTATCTTTCGCTCGATCTTTTTTACAATCTTATGGAAATATATGGATTAAAGATTATATAATCAGTAGAAGTGTTTTTCTTTTATTTTAATTTTGTATATACCGACATATAATATTTTTATATTGAATATTTATTTGCCATGTGTAATTTTTTCTTTCTATAAATCACTTTAAGGCATACCCGTTTGAACCTTTGAAAAATGAGTACATTTTTTATATTTTTTTGCAATGGTTTAATAAAAACTTTTTTTACAATATTATTAAGTATTTACATAAAAATTTTCAGCTAAAAAAAATTTTTTTTTTTTTAAGTTATGCGAATATTTTTCGGTGTGTATGAAAACGTTTGTTTATCATATCCGAAATCAAAAATATAAGTTTTTTTTTATTAATAGCTATCTGTTATCCAAGCGTTCTTTCAAATTTAAAAAAAATTAAAATATTGCGGTGTGTTGAAAAAAAGTTCCGTTTTTTTTTTAAATCCATATGTTTTTTGTTTATAACAAAAAAAAATGGGGAATCGGATTTAAAAAAGGCTTCGTTAACAAATGCGGAATCTTATTAGAAACTCGCATGCAAAATTTGAATTCAATCTGTCGAACGTAACCCGAGTTTTCATGCACACCGTGCATGAAAATATAAATCTGCAAATATTCGCATAACTTAAAAAAAAATTTTTTAAGCTGACAATTTTTATTTAAGTACTTACTAATATTGTCAAAATAAACTGATAAAGGCTCTTATGAATATATCATTCTTAATCCTAAATATATCAGTACTTAATAATATTGTATTAATATTGTAAGGAAATAAAAAGTTTTTATCAAGTCGTTGCACTGTAAAAAGATCTAGAAAATGTACTCATTTTTCGAGAGCTCAAACAGGTGCCCCCTTAATATTTTTATCGTGATTAATTTGTGTCTTTTACATCTAAAACAATATAAACAAGCACAAAGATACATACAACTTGGACATTTTCAAATTATTACTATCTCAACTCAGTCGTTAATTTATTTCAAACTTTTTGAAATCTTTTATATAAATATTATAATGTCTTATCATGGAAATTTGTATCTGATATTATTTGTATATTCCAATTTTATTATATTTTCGGGGAAAACAAACATATATGAAATTTAAGTAATTTGATCGTTTTTAGATACATGTATATTTTAGAATAGGAAGCCAATAATTTCTTTTTTTTTTTTTTTTTTTTTATAATGGCATCTTCCATTTAATTTTTAATACATAACAGACATCAATTTTTAAAAGCACATAAACGTGCAGTTTAAAAAGAGATGTTTATAACATTACAGATTCTTGTATTGGCATAGCATCGTAGAAGAAAAAGAGAGAAATAAGAGCAGAGAGGCAAGCCAATAATTTCTTTTTTTTTTTTTTTTTATTTATAATGGCATCTTCCATTTAATTTTTAATACATAACAGACATCAATTTTTAAAAGCACATAAACGTGCAGTTTAAAAAGAGATGTTTATAACATTACAGATTCTTGTATTGGCATAGCATCGTAGAAGAAAAAGAGAGAAATAAGAGCAGAGAGGCAAATCGCGATATATTCATTATTTAAAATTGATTCAAGAAAAAAAAAGCTACAAAACTATCATTATTCAGTGAGTTATGAATAATATGAACAATGTACACATGAGGATATCATTAAATTTATTATACGAGGACCCATATTTAAGGATATAATTATTATATATTATTACATTATTGCACATTGGCATTACATATTTCATTGAGAAGAAAGATAGATGAAAGAAATATGAAACAGATATTACGAGAGGCGTAAGTGGCATTTGTTGATTTTACTACATAGTAACTTCAAAATTGATTATATATTGTAAAGCAAATTATATTTACGTTTCATATCTAAATTACATTGTCTCATTATCGATACATCACAAACTTCTACATTTATTGATATTTATTGAGTAATAACTGTCAAATGTTCAAATTATCTCGTCTCGATAAAAATATAGAGATAAATATGAAATACTCGATATATTTTATAACAGAACAGGTGATTTGAATGAAAATTCGAGAGAAATCAAATAATTGCAAAATATATACAGAATAAGATATTAAGATCCCCCTATTAAAACGTCTTTAATCATCCTCTTTTGTTGTAAATATTGGTGCAAAATTTATTAGCCATATAGGAGAGAGAGATAGGAAACATTCCATTATTTTTTTATACATATATATATATATACATATTTCATCTTTTTTATAACATTTTGTAAATTATTTTTAAAACCTTCGAAAGAGAGCTATATATATATCTACACCCATCGTAAACAGACTGTTGATGGCAGTAAGAAATATTCCTTGAATTTGGTACTCGCGCGTACTATAATTTCTGATATATTGTTTTTGCCTTCTTTGAAGTAAAGATACAAGTAGAATACTTAAACTCGTTATATCTCCGTAGAGTCGTGTTTCATATAAAGCTCATCACATTCGATGCTCTATAATTAATGAAACGATATAGAGGACACAAAAATCTGATTCTCGACTGTCTCTTCTCGTAATAATTGTAATGAAGTTACATTAATATTTTCTATAATTGCGAATTGTTATAGGTGAAACTGGTATTTTTGCAGTTTCATGATTTCGGTAGTTAAACTATCCTCACTCGTATCCGTGCTCGTAGATATGCTATTATTCTTAGTGAGTTATGCTACACACTGTGATAGTGACGCTGTAAGAGAGTACGTTATTGTATTATCTATCGTTCGATCTTTATTCGGCGAACTGAAAGAGAAGGAAAAGTATCGCATTGAATATATAACATGTACCTGTGTAAAATCACAATTTCCCACAAAACGCAATATCGCGTTGCAATAGTCGGATTCTACAATCTCGAGCCGAGATAATGACCATCGTCTCCGATATGCAATTCATGTTTAATAAAAAAGAGAAAAAAAAAACGTTTTTTGACAACCGCTTTTCCGAGAGTCATACAACTTATTTGACAATACTGAGAAAGAATACACCCAGCGTTGCATTGTGTTGCATTGCGAGACTGTGGAGCCTTCGCAGAGCTTATTCTCATTCATATGATGGCTACAGTTTCCGCTGATAAATAATAGAAAATCTGTATCAATCTGTTCTCAGTACAATCACAGTTTCCACATATGTTCTTCTCGCGATGGACGTTTATCAATAGATTTTTATACAGATACATCACGTAAAATCTACCTACCTACCTACCTACCGACACGCAAGAGACGAAAGAGAGAATATATAAATCAGGCGTATAAATTTTTCCTACAAAGTATACAAACAAAGCAGCATTACCAAGACTAATATGCAAATCTATACGGGTCGATATTCAACGCTGTACCTTGACCAGATGATATTGTAAATATACAATTGAATACAATGCAATTGTTCTCTCAATCTCCTCCGAATTGCCTTCTTCTATCATTAATCTATCTGTAGTCTTGATAAAAATCTGTAATGATATAAAATGCGTAAATGTAAAAATATTATAATAAGAAGTTATATGATAGAAAAGTATACATGATACCAAGATTTGTTATTTTCATGAATTCTTTCTTTCGCCTGCTTATCTTCTTTAGTTTTAATCTTGAGCAATTTTCTGTTCACCTATTCCAATTTCTTGCTGTTTTGCCTGCTTAATATGAATATTCTTTGTTTATAAGCTTCTTTTATTTGATTTCCTTATTCAGGTTGATATCTTTCATGCAGGATACACTGTGTTAAGACTTCAAGATGTACAGAATGCTTGATTTTCAGACTCTGAAATGTTATTAGCATGATTAATATATAATAACATAATATATCTTCAATAATGTATTAAAATAGAATTATTACAATATAATGATAATTGCCACTCTAGACTTACCTTACTCATATTTTATTGAATATTTAGGAAATATTCTTCTCCCTCCCTCTTTTCAAATATATACACGCATTGGATGTTTAAAAAAAAACTCAAGATATAGAAAAACATTATAAAAAGTTCTGGCTTCATTTTGTACAGTTTTATTACTTCACGGAAGAATAGAACGAGTTAATGATACATGGTATAATTGTAACATGTTATAAACTATATATGGTCACATTATGTGCAAAAACGTAATGTCAGATTGTATCTTTATAGCGTATAGATGCTTTGTATTGTAATTCCGAAGCGTCACGAACAGATCTGTGGTCAAGTTTTGGCCATCAGTTGATGCACCGCTAATTGAACCCGCAGTTCCACGCAAGCTTCTTTCTCTTCGATTATACTGCGTATCAATGTTGTCATCTTTTTCTGAAAACCAAAAGGGAAACGTATAATTACAGGAATGGAGCGAGAAATTCCTTTTCCCTCCTCCTCCCCCATCCAGCGTTTAAAAGAACATACTTCGAGTAACTGATTCTCCTTGACTAGCTGTATCATAGCCGTCATTTCGGCTTCGTTGGGAGAGTGTATCCTTTCTTTGGGTTTCTTCTTCTCTGTGCCGCATTCTGTCAGCATTTCCATTAATCGTTTGATCTCGTTCCTTTCCTGGCTGATACGAGACTTTAATAATACTTGCATGTTCAACAGTTCCTCATGGATCAGCTTCTCTCGCAACTGATCTATAAGATCCTCCTCTTCAGGCTCTGTACATAAATTAATGTTATACTCATTGAAAGTATTAGAGATTATATGCTACATTGATCATTATGTACCGTTTGCTTTGTCGTTCGGTGTTACATTTTCAGATTCTTTCGATTGAGGTGTAACTGTCGCATTATCTACGGAATCAACCATGTCCTTTTCTTGTACATTTACGTTCTGTCCGTTTTGCGCGGTGTGCGAATTACTGGCTGAACAAGAACATTTTTCCTTCCCTTCTTCCGCATTATGCAGTTTACTATCCTTTTTTATCAATGTCGCATTGTTCGACGGTTGATTATCGGATTTTACTTGACCGGGATCTTCGTCGACGGGTTTTGGTTTTTGCGAGATAGATTCTATCGGAACATTATCGGTCGATTTGATTTCTTCGTCTAAACTCTTTTGCATAGCGCCTTCCAATTTTTGAACGGTTTTGTACTTTCTCTACAAAGTAAAATGCACATTTTACGTTAATCTTTTCTTTACATGAATTTTTGTAATATGAATTCTTTTTTAAATATAGTCGTGTACCTTTAATTGGGTTATCATTCGTTGCACTTCCCACAGTTGTTCCTCGCGAGACTTTGTTACAAAACCAGCATTCATCTGCATGTGAATTTGGAATAGTAACGATTCTTGTTTAGATAATTCTGCAGCTATACCTTCCACAGAATCAGGTAGATTGGTGCTACCAGATGACAATGGTGGCACATATTTTGTTAATTGTATATTTGGGAATAAAGCCTTACAGTGAAACAACAGAGCCAATAACAATCGGTGACTCATTTGTAGAACCGGACTTAACGTCATCGAAATCGTTTGGGCGTTCATTTTTGTCGTCTTCTCCTATGGTAAGATATCATTAAAAATGTAGAATATATATTGACATAAAAATTGTTATAGTATTATATGTATATTGTTTAATTTTTTCTTTCCAGCTTTATCCAATAGACTTCTTGCATCAAACTGATAATACTTGGAACGTACTCGCATTGTGACGTGATCCAAATGCAGTATAACCCATGCCAAGAGAATCCTGTTGCATTCCGGTAACTGCTGCGTCAATTGCGCCAATTGCGCTTCCCGTTGTTCGACATCCTTGGTCGACGCGGCCTGTTCGAAGCGTGATATCGTTTCGCTATTCTCCAACACGGGTTCTGGTAGTTCTCTACATCACCACAATGTGCACCACAATTTTTCGTTTGATCTTAAAACACATGGTGAGAGAAGGATAGAGAATTCTCAGATACAAACCTAAGAAAGAGTATCAATAAGCTCGTAGCTACCGTGGGTTCGAATTCGGATATGTTCACCGGTTCTCGGTGATTGTACAATTTTTTCAAATACTGAACTTTTGACTTCACCCCGGGGACTTTGTACAGACCCTCCACATTCATTCCGTGCTCCTCTACATAATCGATACAGTCTCGCACCACCAATGGTAATTTGATTCCATCATGACAACAGCTTCTTTCAATCGCTAAGTGAAGACTAACACCGAAAACCGGTTGTTCCTCTGAGAAACGTAATATGTATGTATAAAAAAAAAAACATTAATGGAGCAGCAAATCAAAACATTCATTCAATCTTACCACCAATATCCAAACCTTCGCCACCTACATGCTTCCCTTTCTTACGATCTTTCAATTTTTGCTTAGACTTGTCTTTATCCTTATCTTTCCGTTTTTCTTTTTCTATATCCTTCTCATCTTTATCCTTCTTCTTTTTATCCTTTTCCTTCTCAGTGTCTTTTTCCTTCGCCTCTTTCTCCCGTGATTTCTCTCGTTTCTCTTTCTTAGAAGGAAATTTAAAGGCTTTGGTCTTTTTTGATTTTGACGGACTTCTACACAATAAATTATATAGTAATTCATATACATTACAAGATGATTGAAAAACTAAAATTACCTCAATAGCAATAGATAATAAAATTTTAATTGTCATTTTGTATATATATTATAAAGACTTTGATAATAAAATATATATTAACTGAGCAAATTAAAATCAATATAAGCAAAAGTATCAAATCATAAACACTTGAAACGAGCTTGTTTTCCATTAAAAAAAAAAATCAGGAATCAAGTTTAGTTGTGCAAGTATAAGAAAAGTAATACAATGTAGATCAAAAATCAGTGATGGATAAATGATGGATGAATGGCCATCATTTTTAATTATCAAGTACATGCTAAAAATATAACTTGATTGTATATCTGATAAGTATGAAATAAAAAGATCTGTTAATTGTGCATTATATTAGCACTTGTACACTATTAGACATTTCACAACCAAGAAAAAAAAAGAAAGAAATAGAATTGATGTAGGCTTTACTTAGTTTCTTGATCTTCGTCTGGTGAACTTTCACCCTCTAAGGTTGCGTAGCCCCTATCTTTTCTATCCTTTTTGTCCTTACGCTTTCCACCCAAGAGCTCCTTCTTGGAATGCTTGTCGTGGCTGCCTTCATCACTAACTGTATTATAAAAATTAACGCTAATGACATTCCGGCATCATATATATTTGGTGAATTAATTGAGAGAGAGAGGAGGATACAAATATATATTTGAGACCAGACAGAGACTCTTTGACAGATGCATAACCTCTCTCTCACAGTGTCTATTGTTTGAAACAGCTGTAGATAGAATACGATTACGCTTGTTACGTACAATCGCTCTCATTGCTCTTCCTTCCTGATTCGGACGCGTACAATCCGGGAAATTCCTTTTCGACATCCGGACTCTCGAAGTCCATTCTCCTTCAACAGATGTGCATTTGACACTTCACCTGCTTGTGTCAAACTCGAAATCTCTCGAAATCTCTCGAAATTTCGAGAAATTTCTCGAGATAAGTCGATACCTCATAATGCGCCGATCAATTATATTAGAACATTACAGCGCATATCTGACTTTATTAATATTAAATAATATTATTAATATTAAATATTTATTATTAAATTGTTCCAAGGAAATTAAGATTATTAAATAATAAAATAATTGTTTTATTTTTTTTTTTTTTCGTCGTGATGATGAAAATCGCATTTATGGCATCAAAACTAACTTTCTCGTCGAAAACTATCAATTTTCAACCTTGATCCACAGTATACATGATAATAAGGTATCGAATCTCGACATCACTAAATGCATTATATAACTTTGTTATCTTCTCCGGCATAATAGGTGTAAATATAAGTACAGATTATTTCGTAATTGCTTATGTAGGTCATACGAAACTCGTTTCTTCGCGATTTTATATTGAACGCCTTCGGCATTTTCGTCGCGTTTTCAATATCATATCTCGATCTAATATTGTCTCATTAAAATTTTCCCTTTATTTAAAAAATATCGATGTGTGATTCCTAGATATTAATTATTTAAATTTAAATTGTTATTTTATTCCGGAATGTTAGCGTTAATTTTTGCTTCAATTAATTCGGTTTAATCTATTTCTTCAAATGCTTTACAAATTGCAGAACAGTTATCATGATTAAAATTTATTTTACAGCTTTTCAAATCAATTTTTGTTATTTTCAAAATTCAGAAGATAACACAAAGTAACAGTTGTTAAATAGAATTAATTTAAGTTTTTATCCAGAATCATATTAAAACACTTAAAAAATACATATTACATTCCAGAGTTAAATTACACTCTGTAGCGAAAGTTCAAATATCATTTCATACTTTATATACGCCTTACGTTTAAACCAATTTACACCAATTATGTTTACACATCGGTCGAAAGCATATGTGTATTTTTTTGTGGGTTACGTCAATTGGTATTGTAAAGAAAAAATATTGACAAATGTACATATAACAAGTTGACATCGACAAATTGTGTACAAAAAACAAATTCTGACATCGACAAATTGTGTACAAATAACAAATTCTGACATCAATAAATTGCAATGACATATGGTATTTTTGTCAAAACGCATGAGAAGTGGTCGACCTTGTCATTTTTTCTTTCACCCTATTTCGGCCAAGTCACGCAGATGAGATTACAGAGATGCAATTCGATCTCACGATCAGTAGTTAAGCGAATTTCGCGGGATAAACACGAGTCTTCTACCAATCGTTCGTTAAGAATTTAATTTCTCACTTAAGTATAATTCGCGTTTTCGAAAGTTTTTATCAAAAGAGAAAAGCAACAACGCCTTTATATACACGATCATAACAGGTATATTTTTTTATTTGTTAAATTAAAAAATGAAAAAAAATATACGTTTGATTTTTAGTGATCATCTGTAATAATTGTCTCATTTGAATCAATTTGTCTATTTAAATTGCATAATCGAAGATATCAAAGATACAACAAAAAAATTTGAAAATAATAAAAAAGATATCAGAAATATGCTCATATATTGTAAATACGGAGCTTGTGTGAAAAAGCATGTAGAACAAAATTTTATTCGGCTGTCTTACAATTGTTGAACATTTCTTAAAGATTATATGTCTTAAAAAGAGTGAGATAATCGAGTTAAACGACCGACAATAAGTATTGCGTTATCGATATGTAATATGTTGTAATAAGCTCTTCTCATCTCGAGTTTCTTCAAATATAACTTCGAATACACGAGAAAGATGCAATCTCGTTCAGTTACAGCATTTTAAACCGCTAATTAGTATTCACTTTGCATTCTTCTATTTTATATTACTTGCGTCATGTGTCCGTGATCGTAAAGAGGATACCAACAGTTGACGTACTTTACCCTGATGCTATTCAAATCTACAACAATCTTGAAAGATATTGCAGTTGCTTATTGACATTGCATTCTTAATGCAATAAAGTGCTATTACATGAACCGTTGATTTTTTGTGCCAATTGTGCATTTGTGATATAAATTGTGCCTGAAGATCGCATTTGCAGTCTAAATATTATTCAAGTTATATCGAAGATTATGCTTTGATATGTCAAGATCAGATCCGTATTAAAAGTGATATCTCAAAATCAAGATCTTCCAAGAAATCGAAGATTCTCTCTCTCGAGGAAGACTATCTCAGGAATTCATCTCGCGACTCGACTGTGTTTAATGTCAACATTCCAGCTATTTATAGGGAAAAAAATCGACAAACTACAGTACTGGAGATTGAAATGCAGATGATTTAAAATTGGGAAAAAATATCAACATACCGTACACGTATTTAACAGAAGATCAGAAGCAAAGATTTATCTCACGTGTGATAAAAAAGACGCAACTTCGTGAGATGCTCAAGTCCTGCTTGATGATCTTGTGCCTGGGATACGCCGGTGGGATCTTGCCACCGGGTATTTTCGAGGTGATCGATCACTTCTTCTTAGGCTTCCCGCCGCTACCAAAAACGCCGGGGCAGAAGGAGACACTCGATTACACCCTTCCCTTCGACTTCCTGGTGATCGGCGCCGGCTCGGCGGGATCCGTGCTCGCGAATCGCCTGACCGAGAATCCCGACTGGAACGTCCTGGTGCTCGAGCAGGGCAACGACGAGATCTTCCTCACGGATATTCCCTTGCTCGCACCGGTCCTTCATATCACGGACTATGCCCGCGTGTACAGGAGCGAGCCGCGGCCGCAGGATGCGAATGGCCACGGTGGATACTGCCTGTCGATGAACGAAGGCCGTTGCAACGTAGTATCCGGGAAGGCGGTCGGTGGCACCTCGGTGGTGAACTTTATGATCTATTCGAGAGGATCGCCGATCGATTACGATGCCTCGTGGGCGTTTGATAATCCCGGCTGGAGTTACGAGGACGTGCTGCCGTACTTCATTAAGTCCGAGAGGTGCAAGCTGATCGATAAAGACGCGAGGTACGTCTTCAAGTCAGAAACAATACATTTATTCCATTCTTTGCTTGTGGAAGCTGTAGTTATATTTCGTACAACTTCAATTTTAGCGCCTTTTAGCGATAATATTATTTTCTCTTCTCTTCATCTCTTATTCGTCAGATACCATGGATACGATGGATACCTGGATGTCACAAACCCTCCTTACGCCACTCCGCTGAAGGAACGTTTCTTGAAAGCCGGCCAAGAGCTCGGTTACGATCTGGTAGATTACAACAGCGAGAGGCTCATAGGTTTCTCGACCATCCAAACGACTATGCGAAACGGGCACCGGGTTAGCGCCAGCAAAGCCTTTCTCAGGCCGATTCTCCGCCGAACAAACTTTTATTTATCCAAGTTTTCGACGGTGACGAAAATTGTTATTAATCCAAAGACGAAAACAGCCGTGGGCGTCGAATTCGTAAAGAATCGTAAAACATATTTTGTCTCCGCTACTAAGGAGATTATACTCTGTGCAGGTATATGCATTTAGAATATCGTTATAGAATAAAAGAGTGTGATTTTATCTTCTACATAAAATGAATTCACTTTAGAAATAAATTTAATAAAATATTTTACAAAAGGAGTTAATTTTATATATTAAAAAATAGATTTTAAATCAAATTAGAAAGAAACATTCAATTTGCAAATACATTTCAATGAAAGTTATTTTATAAATCAGCTCGCTACTTATATTTGTACGTAAATAGAGACTTTTTTCCTATTGCACAGGTGCTCTCAGTTCACCGCAGTTACTGATGCTGTCCGGAATAGGTCCAAAGAATCATTTGAGCTCCTTAGATATCCCTGTAATAGAGGATCTTCCGGTGGGATATAATTTACAGGATCACGTGAGCATGTCAGCTTTAACGTTTCTAGTCAACGAGAGCGTGGCCATTGTCGAACAGCGTCTAGGTTCCAGTCCGGCTAGTTTCCTGGAGTATCTGATACAAGGCATAGGTCCTTTGACAATACCCGCAGGCGCCGAAGCATTAGCTTTCATTAACACTAAGGCTCATTTGAGTAAAACGCGGAGGAAAGAGTCAAAGCTTAAATCCATTATCCAGGGTATAAATGTACGCGGAAACAGCAAGCGACAGTATGGTAAGCATTTTATATACGGTGGTTTTTTTTAAATTTTCTCTACAAAATATGTAAAGTCCATCATTTCTATCACTTCCATCATTTCTATCAATCGCAAAACGTATTTCAACGGGAACGGATTATTGACAGAAGACGACTATCCCGATATCGAGCTGTTGTTGGGCGCGAGCTCGTTAACCGGTGATATTTCCGGGTCTTATCGCAGTTTGCTCGGATTAACGGAGGATTTTCGCGAAGAGGTTTTCGGTGATTACAACGGCTTGGACGCTTTCACGATCGTGCCTGTGCTTTTGCGACCCAAAAGTCGCGGTAGACTCACTTTGAGAAGCACCGATCCATTAGATTCGCCGATCGTCGATGTCAATTATTACGATCACGTGGATGATCTAAATACAATGGTGCAAGCTATAAAGATAGTAAGAGTCTTTATGTATTAATATATAATCAATATATTACATACAAGATATATTTGTGTTTTAAATTTACTTTTAATTGTATTATTTGCTGATTAATTTTTCATATATTTTTTGTTTTCATCTTCCAGGCGATCGAAGTAGCTTCCACGAGAGCGTTTAAACGTTACAATGCCACGCTGCTACCGGTACCGTTTCCGGGATGCAGACACGTTGCTTTCAAGAGCGATCCGTACTGGGCCTGCGTCGCCCGTCATGTATCGACGACTATAGCCCATTACTCGGGCACGTGTAAGATGTCCACACGGAGGAATTTGGGCGTGGTGGACCACAGGTTACGGGTGCACGGGATCAGCGGTCTCAGGGTCGCGGACGCCAGTATCATGCCGACCATAATCGCCGGTCACACGACCGCGCCCGCGTACATGATCGCCGAGAAAGCCAGCGACATGATCAAGGAGGACTGGAAAGATTCTGCTCCGTGAATCACTCACACACACACTCACACACGCACACATATACACATGGGTGTGGGAAGCAAGAAAGTTAGGAGAATGTTATGAGGTAAGGTAAAACATATGGGATACGTTATCTCGAAAGCGCGGAGATTGTGATTATATGAAAATCACTTTTAGATTCGAAGGAAAGCTATAATGAGGGCATTGATCTTGACGAAGATCAATGCCCTCATTATAGCTTTCTTTCGAATCTAAAAGTGATTTTCATTTAATCACAATCTCCGCGCTTTCGAGATAACGTATCCCATATGTTTTACCTTAATAAGGGAGCTTATAAAGGAAGCGCTGTATATACAAGAGAGATATTATATATATTAGAATATTATATATTATAGCGCAAACATTTAATAGAATTTATCTACTTTTGAAGTAGAATATTTTATTTTCTATGGGGACAGAACAATTACGTATAATTATTATACATTTGATACATGTGTAGAAATGACGTTCTGCTCAATCTGTGTAACCTAGTCAATGACTGTAGTATTATCCAGTTAATACGTCGGAGAGAAAGAACAGTGTGTTATAATGATCTATTAGATTTGCTGCTTTCTCAACTTGAGAAAACGTGCTGAGTCTCTTTGGCTGCTTATGGTTGAACTAATAAAATATAGCAAATTTACATTATTCAAGCGCAATTTAAATAAATACAACGATAGACACATATTTAAACTATAGATAAATTATTAAAGCTCTACGATACTATATATTTAAATACTCTAAGCTAATAAATCAACAAATTTTTAGATTTATGAAAAGCACTGCTGAACACAGATTGTTATCCATCATATTTTTAGCACACAAGAAATTTCGTGATAAAGACGACGGGAAGTATTCCGTACGCTTGCCATCCTGTTGCACCTGTGGCAATGAGAAAACTCCAAGTATAAATCGATTTTAGCATTAATAATTATAAATCATTAAAAACAATAAAATTAATTTAAGGCGGCGTCAAACCAAAATTTTAGATAAAATAGATACCGTTATCGCTGAATTGAACGCAGTCCTGCAGCTCCTCCATTAACGTATAACCATCGGTACAAGTGCAGAAGCCTGCGAATTGATAAAATCGAGTTCCTTTAACTAGGATAATAAATAGGATAATAAATCATGATTAACTCAATTATTTAACAAGCGATTACATACCATCAACACAGTCCACTTTCGATTTCCACGTCGAATTAGAGTCCCTCAAACTTCCGGTGATACAATGATGATGAGTCTCGCAACGGCCGCCCAGTTCTAAGATTGTAAAATTTTCCATGCGTTATTTTCGTTATTGAACGATAAAACTTGCATCCAACATGCAAATATATTTTCCTCGAATTTAACCGTAATTCTGATTCTTTAAACTTTGTGCGTCTCGTACGAGAAATATCAGTATCTGTGTAATCTGTTATTTCAAATCAAGATAATCATAAAGGGGTGGAATCCGTCATCTCTCTGGTTTAGAACAAATATACTTGCCAACATTGACGTAACATCGACGACCGCGTCTGTGAGAGCCTGCGACGCAATCGCACGTCCCATTTGCGCCGCATTGGCTATGCTTCAGGATCATCTGGCACTGGGACTGCTGCTCGCACTCCTCGCCGATCCAGGAAGCAGCCTTCAGACACCGTTGGCCGCCCTCGGCCAGCACATAGTCCACTTTACAGTCGCATCTGCTGTGCATGCATCTCGAATTCTCCACAATGCATTCGTCATCGCTGTTGCAGTATTCGTTCAATTCTGAAAAAAAAGAGATGTCAGATACATAACTTACATAAGCTGCAAAATAGTGGAGTGCTTTCTATTTTAGCGAGCGGGGCTGTCTTTTTTATATCCTATACATTTTATTTTATTATGTGTGTGTTATTATTAAGGACCCAGTCTACTTTAGAGAGCAAAAAAATTAGATTTTTTTTTTTTATGTCTGAGAAATGTCTTTGAAATTTTATTGAAAAATTCGTGAAATTGACAGAGTTACACATCATTTAAACATCAATAAAGACATAAGCAAAACGGCAACAAGATCAATTTCTAATATTCTTCAAAAATAATTTCTAAAAATCATCAATTTTTTATACTGCTAGATTAGACTGGATCCTTAAAACCGAGCACGACTTGAACAGCTTGCAGAATTATCCCTCCAAAAATATCGGATTTATATAGCAGTTTCTATCGATTGTTATGATACTTACTAGCGCTCGGTAGACAGCCGGTGTTGTCAGGATTCGCGTGATGACGCAAACCGCAAGTGCAGAAACCGTATTCGCAAAAGGTATTTCTGATGTAGCAATTGCGATTCGAGCGACAACGTTTGCCCAGACCTATAATCGAGTAGAAGATAACACTAATATATTTCTAATTAATCGAATACATACTGATCAACTACGTATATAAATTTATTGTATTTTAATCAATCCTATCTGATTTTAATCAATTTTATTTATCGTGTAAAATGCGCAGACATCATAAGCATAGGCGCTTTAAGTTCCTTCTACGCTTGCATTGAATAAACATTTCCATTGTGTCTCTTCTCCATTCTATTATCTCGCGGGATATTTATTTTTCCCATAAATATGCGTAATAAAGGGGGCCGGCTTGAGACGTTTCTCAGGAAAACAGCACTCACCGACGGACTCGTAACACCTTCCATCCGTGAAGTGAGAATCATGGGCGCATTGACAAGTGCCTTCTCGACATTCCGACTGCGGTGTAAATGTAAACTCACATTGGATGTCCTCCTCGCAGGGATCGCCGATGCGAGTAGCCACTGTTGAAATAACGTTTCTTATGGGTATCCCCGTTCGCAAATTGACATTTCGTTACATCCGTTACTCGTTAAACATATTTTTTATATCCTATCAATAAAAGTTTAAATGCACAGCTTTTCTATTTACGTCTAGAGAACGTCTATGACATTCGATGAACGTAACGTTTGGAGATAAATTTAGCGAAATTTCGAGAGCGCAATTTAGGTATTATTTGTTGGAGGATAAAATACCTGTAGAGTATCTCGCAATTCGCGATGTTAATTTTAACGATCTGGAATTTTCAATAAATTTCAGTCGATTTTAACTTAATTTAGAAGTGTTTTATTGCGCGTCGAAAGGGCTGTACCTAAGAACGGATTTACGCCGTTCTGACTCATTCATAGAAATTATTCGTGATCTCTGTCGGCTCAACGAGCACGACGAACGACACGCTCCGGGTGAGACGGGATCGTGAGAAAGGAATAGGGATGGACGAGTATCTCCGCGGGATCTCGTTTCTCGAGGTCGATGACATCAATCCCGAATATTCAAGTAATTAGATTGAAATTTAGCGGAGAGCACGGTTCATCTCATCTTTAATTTTTTTTTAAATAAATTATTTTATACCCGACATAGGAAATTGTCATAATGATAATGTATATAATTAGTTCGGAAAAGTACCTCTTAGACATCTGTAGTTGTTGTTAGTCCTGAATTCGATGTGATTTTCTTTGCACAAGCAGGTTTGTTGGTTTTTGCAAAACGCATTCGCGATACAATCGTCATCGTATTTACAGAGTGAGAAAGTTTCTGAAAAAAAATTCGTTTTATTTGCGTAACGCGATATATTATTACTTTATACTATATAAAAAAAAAAGGATTTCTTATGATTATAAAATATATGTTTTTGATTTTTAAATCAAATTGAAAAAAAAAATGAAATATTAAAAAAGAGACGCTAACGATTTTATATATTCGCCGATCAAATTGACTGTGATATATTGAGTATCTCTCCATTAAAAGCGACACAGTATACTGGGACTTTAATTCGCGAGCGTACAATGAAATCTCTGAATTGCAAAATCGTTGGATGCAATAGCTACGACAGAGTATTTGTATTTCATTTGTAAATTTTGCTTACTATTGCTACTGCGATTACTATTACTGCGATCGTTGCATCGCGACGGGTCCTCGTTGCTGTTGACGTAGGTGATCGTCGCGCAGACGGTAACGGGTACGAGGACGAGGAGCCCCGTGAAGCCGCTTACCGTCCACGTCTTCGTCATCCTCGCGATGACGACGGGCAAACGCCGCGTCCGGAACGTTTCATCACCAAAACCGCCGATCGACTTGTTGTCATTTTCGGTCCCCGTCACGGGACGATCCGATCGTATCGCTCGAAGGCCGCCACGTCACGATCGACACAGCCGGGGCCCCGTTTAGCTTTACGACGATGCTCTCATTGTTTCCTCGAGGTTGCGCAATCGCAACATAGGCAGAAACACGTACACACTAAGCTACACCCTCGAACGGATATCATCGAGGCGTATCCCGCATTATCATCCTCCGCCTGTGTAACCGCCTGTGTCGATCACTTCGCCTGCTCGAGGCGAGACATCGGTGAAAAAAGCAACTTATCGTTTAGTCGATCTTAGATGAATCAATCTGGAATTTTGTCCGAATCATCAGACAGTTATTATAAACGTGTCCTATAAAAATTACGATATCCTCGTTTCAACTGTCGTTGCGATAAAATAATCTTTCAATCAATTTTCATTCTCTATCAATTCGCAAACTTGTTCAAGTACTCTTTGAGATTTTTCCGCGATAATAGAAGAATTAATTGTTTTTGATATAGAATTCAAATTCGCTTCACCGATACCTCACCTCTACCAACAACTCGACTAATTCTCCACCAAAGAGATCTTTCTTTCATCGCAACAAGTATATTTATATCTATTTCAAGTTTAAGTTAAAGAGCACAATACATGTGATATTTTTTTAATTTTATTGTACTCTGGTTTTTTCTTTCTCTCTAGTCACACGCATAGGCCTAGTTTGAGACGTTCTAGTTCACAAATGATCGCGTGCGAGCGAGCTCGTCGCTATAGAATCGCCTTGTTTCGTCGATTTCTCGGCAAGCGGAAATTATAGTTGAACACGCACCCCGTAGAGAATTGGCTCTGATTTAAAAAAAAAAACATAGGCAGAAACACGTACAAGCTACACCCTCGAACGGATATCATCGAGGCGTATCCCGCATAATCATCCTCCGCCTGTGTAACCGCCTGTGTCGATCACTTCGCCTGCTCGAGGCGAGACATCGGTGAAAAAAGCAACTTATCGTTTAGTCAATCTTAGATGAATCAATCTGGAATTTTGTCCGAATCATCAGACAGTTATTATAAACGTGTCCTATAAAAATTACGATATCCTCGTTTCAACTGTCGTTGCGATAAAATAATCTTTCAATCAATTTTCATTCTCTATCAATTCGCAAACTTGTTCAAGTACTCTTTGAGATTTTTCCGCGATAATAGAAGAATTAATTGTTTTTGATATAGAATTCAAATTCGCTTCACCGATACCTCACCTCTACCAACAACTCGACTAATTCTCCACCAAAGAGATCTTTCTTTCATCGCAACAAGTATATTTATATCTATTTCAAGTTTAAGTTAAAGAGCACAATACATGTGATATTTTTTTAATTTTATTGTACTCTGGTTTTTTCTTTCTCTCTAGTCACACGCATAGGCCTAGTTTGAGACGTTCTAGTTCACAAATGATCGCGTGCGAGCGAGCTCGTCGCTATAGAATCGCCTTGTTTCGTCGATTTCTCGGCAAGCGGAAATTATAGTTGAACACGCACCCCGTAGAGAATTGGCTCTGATTTAAAAAAAAAAGAGAGAGAAAAAAGATGTGCACATTCATCGGCGGTAATCATCGCGAATAATTTTATGCGCTGACTTGTCACCGGCGAGTAACAGATGCTAAACCGTTCTAATGCACCTTGCGAGAGAAAAAAGATGTGCACATTCATCGGCGGTAATCATCACGAATAATTTTATGCGCTGACTTGTCACCGGCGAGTAACAGATGCTAAACCGTTCTAATGCACCTTGCGGTCCCGTTCGACTTCCGAGTTAAAATAGCATCTAATTTAATAGCGACGTCCTAATATTTATTATTTCAATATGTGAATTAAGTCCGTATACCACGACATCTCTTCGATAGATTAAAAGCCTGAAAATTATTTATACAGCTGCAAAAATTTAAAATAGATTTTCTTTAGTTCTAGGAATATGTGTGTATATATATGTATGCGCGTCCGATATATTTAATTTTTCAAAATCTATATCTTGTTCTGCGATTTAAATCGTTCTGAGTCCACGTCATAAAATCGTGGGCGAAGTTTCCCGCTTTGGATATCAACGACGATCCCGTAAATGCTCGAAGGTCGATCGTGGCGAACACATACACACACACACAAACGAGTTTAGCGCCCTTTCTATAGTTTCAGTTTGTGTTGCGCAACACACGCGGTGCTATAACAGCAGAAGCCATTGTTGTGTGTCGATTTACAGTGCCGTATATTTAGGGAAAGCTATTCGAACCCGATTTGTATTCGCTGTTGAATCTCCCATTTGTCAAACACACAAACCACAAAAAATAAGAATTATCAAATAAATAAAATAGTCGTCTTCAAAAGAACATTGTTGTATTTGCAACAACATTCACACAAATTGCAATTAAATGTGCTAATCATGATAACGTTAATGAATGTAATTATAAACATCGTTTTAAATGACACCCGGCGTTATTTGCAGACGGGCGCGAGAGAAGTTTGTGCGATTGTAAGCTATTGTTAAAGAACTCGGAATGTTGTAATATCCCTCGCGTCTCCAAAACGCATTGTTAAATCGGAATAACAGGCGAGCGAAGGAAACGGGGCCCCCTTTGTTCTTTAATTATGATCGCCGTATTCACTCGATCCACGATCTTCGCGAAGATTCCCCACGAAGGAGAGGAAGAGATTACTGGGTCATAAAAATGCTTATCCTTAAAACATTGCGCGACGTGCTTGTAATCGTCAAATTTGTCGAAATGTGATTACAATTTTTTATATTTGTCAAAGTAGTTAAATCAATTAATCAATAGTCTGTAATTGAATAACACACGTGATCATGATTCGATGCTTTTTTTTTTAATTGAAGCGATATTGAATATTATTATTATTATCTTTACGTGTTTATGTAGAGCTTACAACGCAAACCGCTCCGATATTGATCCGAATAATAGGACCAGATATTGATAATTTTATTAGGACACTTTTGCCATACCAACTAATGATTAGGAAAGAGAGTATTATGACACTTCATATTTATTATATAAAATAGTAACTTGAATTATAATTCAAGTTATCAATATGATAAAACGCTATTCGTAATTCACATTTTATATTTGTTATTAATAATGTAACGTTACGTTAACGGACATTTTCATTAATTTTATTAATTTTGAATAACGCTCGTCTCGATAAATTTTTCAAGTTCGTTTAGTGTCGTGATTACCGTTTTAATTTTAATCTGCAAAATTTTCACTGAAAATATCTTTCAATATTCAACATCACTCGCGGTTTATACACTCGCGACTACTGTATTATTAATATTCATTGTGCATTAAAACATAATTTAATTAATTTCTCAAAGAAATACTGTCCACAACTGCGCGTTCCTTTTTGATTCGCGTATCTTAATATCGTAAGCTTTATAATAATTTTATATTGCTTAAATAATCTTTAGTATTTTAAACTCCCTATCTTTAATCACGTTTATTCTACGACATTACAGCTATTTTTTTAATTAATATGTAATTTTCGCGTTAAAAATATCATATATATTTTCTCTTCGAGCTTGCTCATTCGCAATACCCTGTGTGTTACACTCGACTTTTACACTCACGTCGACGAGACAGATGCTTGCGCTGGCCGTGCGCGTCGGCGACTGCGATTTGTACAGCGAGGCAAAGCACGATTGACATTACAACGATCCGCAGCTCCCTCACCGGAGGGCTCTTCGGCTCTCCCGCCATTCCTTCGAAAAATTTCCTCCTTATATCTCAGAGGAAAAATTCACCGTCTCACGAAAATTCGCCGTCAAGTGAATTTTCCTCCAGACACTCGATCGCGATCGCGATCTCTAGGCTTTTATATCACGGAGCGGCTTATTCGCGTCTCTTCCAACTTCCTCAGGAATAACTCTTATTTATCGTCTTGGCGATTGAATGAAGACCCGGATGTAATGATGATGCCAGAATTGGGTTTTCCGTCGTGGATGGCATTGTATAATAAAATGACAAGTACACTTCCGCAAGGTTTTTTTTTAACGCATCATTCTATTATTACGTTTTTTTTCAACTATAACGCATGCTGTGAGAATAATAATTACGAATTGTTAAGATTCTTTGGAAGGCTTGTTGTCTCTTTGTTCGAGTTTTCTATCGGAAATACGTATGTGATCTGAATATCTCTAAACTGCGTTCTTTTTTAAATTATGAGTTAAGGATGATGCAGAACACATGATAAATATATTTTACGCTGTAGTAAAAGTAGATGTAATAGCGATGGAATTTTACAATTGCATTAATAATTATCACATTTTGAGCTTCTTAATTTTAAAACTTCATGGTACATAACCGTGCTTGACAATTGGCCATTTATTTGAACAAAAGAAAAGAAAAAACGAGATTCATACAAATGTAAAAAAATAAATAGACACGCTTTGAAAATCATGCATCATAGAAAATAGCGCGTACTGTATAATATCTAAAAAATATACAGATATATATATTTAATAGTTTTATAATAAAATATTTACTAATATAAGAGAGAAATTTTACAGTGAATTTTATTAAATATATTCTCATTCAAATAGCACCAGAGTATCTCGATATCTATTAGATAAACGCAAACGAAAACTTTAAAACTCACACATTTATCGTTTGATTCTAAAAAAGCCACTAGCAAATCTTTCTGACATACAATTTATATTACTTGTATGTATTATAAACAAAATTTATACAACGTGCGATATATAATTATTCTGTACAAAAATATAACATTGGATTTTTTACAACCGAGCCAAAGAGATACATATTTATACATTATTAAAAGAGAAATTTATCAGTGTTGATTTTATTTTTTTACATATTATTATTCTGGTAATTTTCAACAAGCGCAAAAAAATAATTTAATAAAAAATTATTAAAATATCGTATATCTATGGCTCGAGTTCAAAAGAGCGGAAGAAAATTAAGATTTCATGCAGTTGGGAGCTGTCTTACACGCGCTCGTGAATTTTCATCTAGTTTAAGAGGCAACGAGAGGCGTTGTAAAGCTGTACTGTGTCAGCATCTGCATTTTAATAACCGCGTTAATTAAATGCACGCGAGAGTAGACACGCCGGTACGGCTTAGCTCAAGCTGTCGCCTTCGCTTTGAGTTTTGCTGCGCAATTACACACAACGGCGTTTAATATTGCAATTCCGTTTTCACGCTATTTTCTCTTACACCCTTTTTTCCGCAATTATTTCGGAAAATGAAACCTTTGCGTTTAATAATGAAAATAAAACTAACCATGGAAACGGCTCTGATTTTTACATTACGCTTAAAGATATACATCGCGCGATTTATAAATATAAATATATTACTATATTCTAAAAAATATCACAACTCGTTACAATTAGAATCATCCATATCCAGTATGTAACAGGATTCTCAATCTCTTATCAAAAGAGTGACTTCGCCATATATAGGTCTCTATTTTTTTCTTTAACTTTCTTTCTCATTCTTGAACTGTCATCGCGACAATCTTACGAACACGCATACACGCGCGTGTGAATTACAATTTACATAGGAAATTCATGCAATCGCATGCATCTTGATTTGTTAGGCACTGTTTGTCCAAGTTTCGCGCACGTTAAAGCAACATTTCTATTATTTGTGAGAAATTTGCGACCCTCCTCAGTTTTCGTAATAATACAAATATTTGCCTTAGACACAACAGCGCCTCTGTTTGCGTTTCACCAATGTGTGTTCCCTTCTTAAATTTTTCTTACAAATATATACATAATATTGGAATTATCAAAAGTTTACCTCTGCTGACTTGCAACGATATCGCGTGTTTACTTCGCGGGAAGATTGTATCTTACAAGACTAAAGTGCTGCAAAGTAGCGTTATCACAGAAACGATTATTGACGTACCGAACGATGAACCTGCAAATGAAAATTGAGCCAAATGAATAAAGTCAGAGCGTTTCTTCCGTAAGCAAATTAATTATGAACTAATTAATAATTAATATTTTCATCTTAATATGTAGGATATATTAATGGGAGACATATCATTCACTCACCGGCACTCACGCATTTATCCTCTTGCCTGACAAGATTCTTGACGCACGTGCATTTGTTAGCCTCGCACATCACAGACTTGATCGGCGAATCATTCTCCTCGTAATCCTCGGCTTGATAGCACTCGTAATTATTCGCGCAACCATCGTCGAGAGCTGTAAAATAATGTAAATGATTCTTTGGCATCTACTATATATGTATATATTTTTTTATTTTTTCGACGCGCGATCATTTATCGCTCTTGCGATATATTGCGATAAAACGATTATACGAGTACCTCTGTTGGGAAAACACCTCGCCAAATCGTGCTCGTAATGATAATCCGATTCGCACTGGCACTTTTTGTCGAGGCACAATGAGTTTTCGAACGTCGCCGAGCACTGTACCGATTCCGTGCATTCGTCCTGAATCTTTATCGCAGCCATCAGACATCTCTTGCCGTCCATATTCAGGACCGATTCGGACGCGCATTCGCACTTCATATCTTTTGTACAGATCACACCCTCAATATGCGAGCATTCCTGATTTTTCGTGCAAGGTCGCCTGTATCCTGCAAATATAATTATGCCAGAGAGAAAACTCTCTCTCTTTCTCGATTACATCGCGAATTGATGTAATCGGGAAGATGCGAGAACTTAAATATTGTCAAAGTCGTTCCGAATCATTAAAAAAAAAAAAAAAATTTATACTGTCGCTTTCCGTATAATACAATTTTATAATAAGTAGATTATTATTAGTAGCACACCTACCGGCCATTCTCCAACATGCATTGTCTATGTAATAATAACCGGATACGCAAACGCATTTATTAGCCTCACAAGTGGTGTTCGCCAGAAACGCTAAACACTGATTTTCATCTGTGCAAGAAGCATCGATCGAACGGACCTCTATATATTTAAAAAATCATGTACATCAATAATGTGTTAATGTGCAAAAACAAATAAATTTTATATGATCTTTAATTCGCGACAGAATTCAAGATCGAGTTTTATGTATGATTTTATATGTAAAATCTCTATTCAAATGAAAAAGTATCTAGTATATTATTTTTATCTTTACTTTATTTTATTTTTTCTTAAACAAGCATTTTTGTACTTTTTTTATTTTTCTATACTTACTTTGGACACAATGTTGCTTATTCTTCGCCGGCACGTAATCCTTCACGCAATCGCACTGACTAATAGTACTGTTACAAAATCCGCCCTCGTATTTACAGTCTTGATTGTGTTTGCATGTTCGATAGAATAGCGGGCCTAAAAGGAAAATATTTTATTACTCGCGCAGTCGTTTATTGAAGAGAATACGGTAAATAAAAAAGAGAGTATAAAAACTCTAATATATATTTAAATCATGCTAATTATGAATCACCTGGGATTTTATTTTCGTGCATAAACGCTTGAATGCTTGAGCAGAATTTAACTCCGTTATCTACATTCGGGCACATGCAATATCCGTCCTTGCAAAAAGCATCTCTCGGAAGTGTCAGCATGCTCCTACAATCTGACGTGTTTCCGCACGGGATAGGCGTGTCTGCAACCGGATCGGTCGTTTCAGAAAGGACGTGCGTCATAAACGAGGAAATTTATCGAGGATAAGATAAAGGTTCCATCAAGTTGTCTATATTATATACATATTATATTCTTTGTTCTAGGAAGACAACAAAGACAACACGTTTCAATAAAAGGATAAATTAATTGCTCCGATTTGACCATAAGATCGTAAACGACAAAAATTTAATCCGTGATAAATTTAAAATGTTTAATTTATCCGAAATATGTGAAGGATAATATTCATCGCAAACTTGGAAAAGTCGAGAGACTTCCGGCAGAAAAGATAAATAACATCGTCTTGGCATTCGACGCAGAAAAAATATTTGTCTGAATATTCTACGAGTGTTGTCAAAATAATTAATTTTAGAGACACGTGTCAATATTATAATAAACAACAGATTGTGCTATATATAATTATGACGTGTCGTAATAAATAATATAATAAATTTAATGACATGTGATAATAATAAATTTATCTTGTGACGTATATTCATATTAAGAAGTCGAAAAATGCGTATAATTAATATACCTACGCGTAGAGGAAACGAGTGATTTATTCGACGACTACATTTTGCGTAATTAATAAGGAAATGCGTGTTTGGAAAGGTAAACGTACTTAATAGCGAGATGAGCAAACACAGAGAAGAAAATGTTAAGATTGATAAGAAAATGCTATGTTATTATGATTCATGTGCCGTAAGTCATAACCGTTGAATATATCAAGTATCATGCTCGAATGATTCAAATGTTACAGATGACTAATGTAAGTATTATTCGGAATATCTCAGATTTAACGAATCTTTAATCTTCAATTTCATTAGTCAATTTAAAATCGTTTTTTCCTTAGATGAAAAATCAAAGGAGACTGATATAATACAGACTTTTTGAAATTATATATAAAAGCATTCTAAATTATTTTTGTTCTAACATCTTAATTCAATTAATTACTTACAATTATAATTCGTATTTTGCACGATATCTAAATATAGAAAAAAAGGACAAAGAGAGAGGCAAATTCGACGAGATCTCTCTCGGAAGAAAAGGTCACTCGTGTCACTTTGAACGTTACAACGCGATGTTTACATGACAGCGTAAACGTTACTTCATCATTTCATAATTATATATCAAGCGTGCCGACGTGAGTCTCGTAGAACGCGAGAATCTCGAGGGCTCGCAAATTAAAATCAGCGAATTAATCGGAGCGTGATTAAAAGTGATTCGACTCACCGATCTTTTCCGCACTGGTGAGACTAATTGTCAGCATAATCGCGCTCATCGTCAGAGCTGTGTACGTTCTCATGCTGAACAGATTCTTTCCTCCTCCGGTCGAGATCGATACCATTGTGATACTTGTTCGCTCTCACCGGGTCCTTAACTCAGTCTATCTCAGGCCGGACCGTCAGACGTAGATCATCGGTCCGCGATCAGCTTATGTTGGAGCTTTCGCGCGCGACTGACGAAGGCAAAACCGAAACGCCGAAGGCCTCCTCGTCCCGTTTGTTGTCTCTCAACCCCGCGACCGTGCTCGCAAACACACATTCTGTATGTTCGTCCCTCTCTAACTGTATCTCTGCACTCTCCCCACTACGATATCGTTAATTTTCTCCCGACTTCAAAACGTCCAGTAAATTCGATCGAGCCTTTTCAGAAAAATATTCAATTGTTTTATTAAGCCCTCTGACATCATGAGGCAGTTGTTGTATAATCGCGTCGTTTTATAGCCTCCTTATATCGCACGTTATTCTTTCTATTTTATTACACTCGGTACGCGTGCGTGTTTAACTATCCTGTCAACTTATTAAATTATGCTTTCTACAAGAAGCTAGAAACAATTGTTTTCAAGTAAAAATGAGATGCAAAAGCATAACTGCATTATTTGTACAAATAAACGCTTTGTATTTTAAGATACTCATCGTTAGAATTCGTTACTTCATCATTTTTAATAATCACGGTTTAACTCTCTTTTTTCACACATTTGTTCATTTCCTTTACGTTCATTTATTCATTTACCATATCGTTTATTTCGTCATACGTTTATTTATTCGCTTATTTCATTGTTCGCGGCTCTTCTCTTTTAATCAATTTCAATTCTTATAATGTGAAAACCAGACGAAACCAGACTTTAATGAAACTATAAACTTCTACGCCTCACGATGGTCATGTATTGCTAACTAAAATTTTATGATTATATACAGAGTGTCCCAAAACCTCTGAATTTTCCTTCGGATTCTCTAGCCAATTTGGAGACGATTTTTCTTGAGTAAAAATGTTGAAAAAGATCGTCATATTTTCAGCTTCCAATATTTTTATATATCTTTGTAAAGCCTTAAATTAAAATTTTCTGAAGATGAACTCCATCTGAAATTAACTGAAGAATGTAGTTATGTTAATTTTTTGACTCAGCAAAATTCAGTTTGCGAAGTGTTTTTTGCTGAGGAAAAATCGTCTGCAAATTGGCCAGAGAATCTGCTCTTAAAAGAAAATTCGGAGATTTTGCGACATCCTATATATTTTAGACATGTATACACATTATATATCATACATGTTACAATATTTATCATATTTTATTTCTTCGTAATTTTCGCACTTTAACAGAACGCATTCGATGTGCATTGTATTCTACGAGTTGCCAATAGGATAAGCGGATAACTTGTAGAAAGATGAACGCGTGTAAAGTATCACACGAGTGTGAATGAGTATGTAAGGCCACATAGTATCCGTAATAATAATGAAGAAGCACAATGTAATACGGTGAAGTTGAATTCGCAAAATTATTGCTATCATGGCACAAACTTCCGTTGAATGAACTTGACCAATCGCTTTAATATAAAATTAATTTATGTTATTCGCGTATATTTTATTGTATTTCATTTTGTTGTATTTTCTTTATTTAATCAACACCAGAAGGAAAATATCCCATTTATTAAAAACTTTTAATTAGAAAGTAATAATTATATCATAATATTATTGCGGTAATACTATTTTTACAAGTTCGCTCAGTCTTATACAAATAATAAACATTAATTTCAGCTGCTTCATTAACATTAGCTTCTTCCTTAAAAATTGGTCAATTATGACCTCCTCTTGGAATTAAACATTTAATTAAACATTTTAACTATTCTTTTATGTAGAATATATATTTTACTCTTCTCCAAATTATTGAATATTATGAATCTCCTTTTTCTATCGCAGATTCAATTTACGGCTCTTCTTTTTTCATTGCTACAGGCTTTTATAGTATTCATGTTATTATTGAAACATTATTTCTTTTAATTTGTCTTTTATGAATAAATTTACTTCATTTTAAAAAATTTCATCATTTTAGATTTGAAGCAGCAGCATAATATTGACATTTTGTTGATCTAATTTGATTTTTTATATATTTCAATTTATTGACGAAGATATTATAAATTTAATTAAATTTATAAAATTTAAATTTTAAATATTTATATAGTATATTCAAATTACATTTAACTTCCAACTAAAAAAATTAATTTTATTGTTAATATAAATAATTTTATCTCTTTTAAACGCGAATATTTTTCGCTGTTTTCAGCTTCATTGTGACGTGGTTGTCGCAAATTCATAAATCAATAATGCGACATGTTTTGTGTTTTTATTTTAAACAGTAATAACGAGAAAGTGACACAACAGGCAGTTCCGATATATTTCATAAGCCCGCAATTTATCGCGGTTTGAAGAATATTCAGTTGTTTGAATTACTTTTCTTTCTATCGCAAAATAAATTATCAATGCAATAATCGGAAATAAGAGTGAGATCCTTGTTTCTCTTGAATAAAAGTAAATCAATCTATCGGGCGTCGCTCTTAATACCGGCTACAGTGAATGTGTTTCGTTCGATAAATGAAACCTCTGATTCATTTCAGAAGAGATATCGCTAGATACGCCTAAGAGATAAGACGTTTATCTGACGAAGGCGTATGTCGTAGCGCGAAATGTGCCATGATGTTCCCTATCTCGCGCAGTCACCTGGATATGCTTTCACGTTCGCATCTGATTTTGGATCTCCAATGACGACTCTTGTCCGCGTCTCACTCATCCTGTGCGCGCTCGCCGATTATTCTCGCTGTCAGCAGAGTCGTAAGTTCCCTCTTCGTAATTTATACCCTTCGTAAATATTCTCCGACGTAAAATGCGTCGACGTAGGCAGAGTCATAAGAGATAACGTTTATATTCGACAACACAACAGAAAAAAAAAGTCTGAAGGAACAGATGTAAAAGAGACCTAATTATGTACATTTTCATTTTTTTTTCAGATGTCCTTTAGAAAAGTTTAAAAAACATATTATATGTTGGATATTTTTTCTTCTCGCTAAACATTTTTAAAAAGTTTTAATCCTTTACACATCTCTCATATACTTGAAAAAGTTCCAATTTTTTAGGACATCTTTAAATACTCTTTTTAGAATGTTTGTCGGTATCAAAGTATCTGTTGCTGATAACGAATCGCGCGCTACAAAAGTAGATAAAGCTCTACCGTATTTTTCATTTTCAATAATTCTTACCTATTTTCTCTTCAACGATTAATTAATTCTTATTACAATACTAATTTATTGCTCGTTTTAGTGGAGCACGCTATCAACGTACAGATTGGTGGCAGTTGCGGGAGGGACATCGAATGTATCGAGAATGCGTTCTGTCGAGGACAGCAAAACTGTTTGTGCGATCCGTATTACTCGCCAAGTCCCGATAAATCGCTGTGCATTGCCAGTGAGTGTTTGCTAGAAAATTTTTATCGCGCGAGGCACAAAAACGATAATTACGCTAAAATCCATGTTTTACAAATTCTCCGGATTTTTGCATAAAATCGTACAATTAGACACACACAAGCTGCGTCTACTAAATATGCTCGCACTTATTTTATATCCATTTACTTTTGATTTGCCAGCGCTTATCTTCCGTTTTTCCGAACAATAAGACTTATTCATCATCATCTTCATCATCTTCTAGCCGTCGGGCTGAGCTGCGAGGACCATATGACATGTCAAACTATGGCGAATGGCGAATGCAGGCAAGGCAGGTGCGCTTGCAAGGACGATTTTTTCTTAGACAGCAGCAATTCGTCAAATTGTATTCCCAGTGAGTAATCGCGTGATTTTTATCGTTATTTTCGAAAAATCACAAAAATGAAGAGATATTAAAAGTTACATCTTGTAGCTTCGATTTCGACAAACGGTTGAAAAGAAAAAAATGTTACAGGACCCGCCAAGATCGGTGATCGCTGTCAAATAACGACGATATGCCAGGAGAGTTTCGATTATGCATTATGTATCAACGAACAATGCCAGTGTTACTCGGGATATCATTTTGTAAATGAGACGCAAAATTGCGTTCCGAATCGAGGTAGTGTACAGATTCTTTTTATGAAAGAAGGAGAGATACATTTATACATACGATATATTAAGATACTGAGAGAGAAAGAGAGAGAGAGAGAGGAAAAGAATACCATCTCTTTAAAAGTTTAATTTCATGGAATATATATGTAGATTTGTAATATTAGATGGTGGCTTAAGAATAGATTAATATTTGCCAAGCGTTTAAATTTTTACATATTATGCGCTAGTCGACAATATTTTTAGCATAACAATGAGCTTTAAAATGCAATTACTTATCACGTAATGTAATTGTGCACATCTATTAAAATGCATTGAATTAACTTATATTTATTTTATTTTATTGTGCGTAATAACAGACTAAAATTGTTCCGAATTACGTGACATTATGATTTCGTCTAGTATTTCACAGTAGCACATATTCCCCACCAACCGTGTAAAACCAAGCCCGTTTATTACAATTCTTGCAGTTTTATGAAAATGGGTCCGGCTAATAGCAATTCCATGTTTCGTCCTGTTTTCTCACTGCTTTGCCGGATATCTGTAGGTTTCGTATCCCGGCTACTCGTTTGTGCCGAGGGGATTACACAAAGGAACTCATCCCCTCCACGCAAAGAACGACCCAGTGAATATCGGGTGTTCGATAGCGATTGATCGCTTAGCGATTCAACGTCCGTTATTCGCGAGCTCGTTATTCGCGTCCCACGAGCGCGAGGTAAATCAAACGGTGAAATGCATATATACATCCAAATATCATCCGGGGAGAACAATTATCGAATGATGTAGACAAAATATTTTGTACGTGGAAATGATATGCGAAATAATAAATCAAAACGCGCGCGAGAGAAGAACAAAAAGATTTTTATTATAATTAACCAGAGATATTTATATAAACATTAATTATTTGCTCCTTTAAGAAATACTTTTCATTAAAGAAAAGAAAAAATGAAACGAATTAAATATAATAATTACCTCTCAAAAATGCAATAGAAAATCAGCTTCTCTTTCTCTTCCTAAAATATGTTTTATTTTTTCTTATTTTCTCTCTCAATATCTGACATTCTTATGTAATCTTACAATTAGAGTGAGGAAGAATAAAGTAAAGTAAGAAATAATTCTGAAAGTCACTCTGAAATTAAAAAAGGATCGATGAAACTTATCTTGGAGAGAGAAAAAAAAAAGAGAAAGAGAAAGTTTAAAATATTACCAGCACAAATTAATTAACGCTTCAACGAGATAAAGCGTTTCTTGCATCGTTCAAGAAGACTGTATTTCTTGCAGAGGAGAGAAGAGATAAGACGGATACGCGCGAAAGGGTGAAATAAAATGGCAGCTAAAATTTCATGATGACGCGAGCGATTATATAGCGCGGCATTGAATAGAAGCTTTGTTCTTTTGTTTTGAATGTAATTTCATTGCCTTCGCGTGATTGTCGCGCGCATGGTCATGGGATTATGCTAATTGACAAATTAATTTTACGGAATTACTTGGTGACATTTATGTCGCGTATACATAGCGTAGAGCATGCCACAAGGAAATGACAACAACAGGCTGGCTGATGTAATGAAATGTCAGAAACCAACAATGTTCCGCGACGTGAAACAATTCCCAATTGCAATTAAAGTTAGTATGATTATCTTGTCTTGTGTACTATAGTGTCTTGTAATTCGACTTGCAACCATCACACAGAAAAGCAAAAACTAAAAATATATTTATTATCCTTGGAATCTTC